AAAAAAAAAAAAAAAAAAAAAAAAAAAAAAAAAAAAAAAAAAAAAAAAAAAAAAAAAAAAAAAAAAAAAAAAAAAAAAAAAACAAAAAAAAAACACCCAAAACAACCACCAAAATAAATAAAAAAAAAACACCAAAAAAACAAACAAACAAAAAAGAAACCAAAAAAACCAAAAAAACCCACAAAAACCCAAAACAAGAAGGAAAATAATAGGTATATAAGGACACAAAATGACATAACTGAGAAAAGGATAATCATAGTTGGTCAAAGTGAGACCCCCTGAAATCCACTGATATATTAATTTTCCAAGATTAAGTATGTAAGGCAAGTTTTTGGAAGAATTGGATTTGTAGGGTCTGCCTTCTGACACAGTCTAGCTGCTGACTGCAATCTTCCAGTTGAGTTTGGAAGATGGAACACCAATCTGTCATTCCTTCACAAAAACACTAGTTGTAGAAAGAGGTTGCCATTGCAGCAAGTAGCTTTATTCGCCTTTGGACAGAATGGATGCCAAAAGAAAAAAAGCATTCAGATTTCTTTGCAGTATTCCTGTTGTCCTGAGTAGAAATGTACAGATAAATTCCATTCTTGCCTGGTTGATTTTTTTACCTCCTCTATTTGTAACTCATAGTAATTTTTAATATTTTTTCTGGCCATTTTTTTGCCCTTTTTTGTCATCTGAAGCTTGACAAAGTATAGTCAAGTCATTTTTATCTGATATATGTTTTAACAAAAACTATGATGACTGATAGAAAAAATCCACATTTATGAAAAAACTTAAAAGGTTTCATCTTGCATAATTACACAACTGTATACCCTCTTAGCAATCTCTCCTGAGCTGTGAGAAGCTGGAATAAATTTTTTTTCATTGGGTTCTAGCACCAGTCCTTGGACTGCTTAACTGATTTTTCAAGCTAAAGAGATGTGGGACAATACAACCATGACCATCACAGAAGAATATGAAGCTATGAAAACATCAGAAACAAGTTGTGCTTTGCACATAAGACCATTGTGGGAAAGGAGAGACTCAACTTCTTACTTTTTAGCTATGGGAAAAAATGTTGTTAGCTATCTAGAAAGAGAAAAATATTATATTCCGTATAAAATAAAAAGCAGCTAGTTAATATGGGAGTGAAATGACTGTTAGAATATTAATTACTGGAAAAGCATTGAACTGTGCAAGAAAGTATAGTAATTATTTCATTTTCAGAAATTTTTGTGTAGTAGATAAAATAATTTTCTGATAAATAGAGATATATTTATACTGTCTACCAATTACCTATTCTGTATTTATTTAACTAAAAGTACAAGTCATGTGACAGTCTTGGATAATCAAAAAGCACAAAATATTGGCCTCATTTCAGAACAAAATTGACCAAGTTTGGAAGATGGTCAGCATTAAAATAGTGCTTTTCATTGTTGTTATTTCTAAGAACTCTATGAAACAAATGTTTGTCACGCTGTTCATTGTTATTTTTAAAACTGAGATGTTATCCAGCTTTGTGTATTATTTGTGTTTTTTTCTTGAGTCAATGGAAAGTGGCACTCAGATGTAACATTTTGTACTTTCACAAGCCCAAGCACACACTGATAATATTTACTTAGAGGGAAGCTGGCAGATCCCCTCCCACCCAAAGCCTCCCTTGCTCCATTGAAATGTCTTTTTCATGGTCCTTTATCTCCCCAGGCTCTCAAAAACTGGCAAAAGGGAACACTGTGGTTTTTTTGGAAGGCGAGGATTTTGAGGAGGGTGAGGATTTACTTAACCCATAGCAAGTGAACAGGACATAGTTCACATCCCAACACATCCTACTTCTAAATATTCTGTCAGAACAAGTTCACCAGGTTCTGCAGGGCAGAGGAGCACGTAGCAAAATGTGATTGGGTGGCTGGAACGGGTGGGAGTAGGAACAGACATAGACACTGGGGGACAGGGATAGGGGGCACAAAGGAGATTGGATTTTACAATAAATTTTTACTTGCTAAGAGTTTGTGATAAATTTTCTGTTAAGTATAATTGTATAGCTGCTGGCGTGTTGGCCTCTGTAGGGTCTTCCTTAAGAAAAGGATTGTGAAGAATCTTATTAATAAGAACAGGAGAAAAATACCATTTCTATATTACTTGATACCAAGTAATTTACTTCATATTTTATTGGGCAGACAATAAAAAACATTTGGCAAATGGCTCAAGATACCCAGAGGGAAAGTTGTCAATCTGTTTTTATTTGTATGGTCTTCCGAACAGGACTAAAATTTCAGATTAGTCGAATTATTTTACAAGGAAGTAGAACCCATAAAGCTGTGATTCTCAGATTGTTTTAGTTAAACAGGCTGTTGGAAATTCTCCAATTCTTTGACAGACTACTTTAGGGTGTTTCACTGAACATTTAATTGTTTTGTTGACGAATATTACTATTCATATACATTTCCATATACATTAAAATTGCTGAGCCTTATACTTCTTTACATTCTCTTACTACCATGCAGTATTTTTGCATCTCTTCATCCTTCTTCTGTTATTTCCTACTAAGTAATTGCTGAAATGCTCAGGCTAATTTATAAACAAATGTTCTTAGAGAAACATGACACATACTCCTTGGCACTGGTCATAAATTTAAAATGTAAGGTAATAAATTTCCATGTTTTATTATTGACTTCTTAGCAATGAGTGACCTGAATTTACCCATTTGCTTATTTCATATATGACTAAATGGGTTAATGAAATATGTCCAGGAGAGCAAAATTATTCTATTATTTTGATTTCAAAACCACTACTACTTTTTATGACCTGAGGTGTTTCTGAGTACTAAGTCCCATTTAAGAGTGCATATTGCTTACCTTGATTAAGAATTGCTTAGACAAGGAGGAACAGACTGTATTAGCTAGTACTCCTCGCCTACTGTGTTCTCTACAATATGTCTAGACTGTTTCTTTGGAAATACATATTTCTGGCTTTTAATTTTGTTCTACAGAATATAAAACTTCTGTTGGGACAGTTAGGAGAGTTATGTCTTTTTTTTTCTGGAAGAGCCTTATAATTACCTGGTACACGGTATTATGTTTTAAAAAGCAACTGTCATTCAGACAAGGAAGTGTGATTGTGCTCTTACCTTCTGCAAAATTTTTGGAGGCTGTATTTCTAGTTCATGGAAACCTTAATCAAGTAAAAACCAAATGTGATCTGATCCTATTATTTATTTCAACTTTTTAAAAAGATTACCAAAGACAGAATTGCATAATGCCATTTTGCAATTGGAAAGCGTAAGCACATAGAAGATACATCTTAAATATTTGCACTTAGGCAGGCTAATATATTAGCACTGTTAAAAGATAGTGATCTCTAATGTTCTCATACAGCAGTAGTAAATTAACAGGCTATCCTTAATTAACTAGGTGTACATAGAAAAATGAAGATAGAGAGATTAATCCATGGATAACAGGTATAGAGTGCTATAAAAGCAGATTAGTGGGAAACTATATAGTTTTCAGAAGCTAGTGCTATGGAAAAGCCGACTTCCTCTTGCTTCTGTTCATCTACTACTTAACATTTTGCCATGTCATCCTTTGGGAACGTGGCTGTAATGAGAAAATTATATGAGACAGTGTGTTCTTTATCATAATTATGTTGAAAAACAGCAAACAAATTGTTAGTAGCATCTGAGATTTCCCAACTTCACTCATCATTGTATATGGCCATGCTAATTTAATTATCTGTTGGCTAGCTTTACATCCAAATCAACTGAAGCACTGAAAGTCGTGAAATTAAGATTTAGGTGTTCCTCTGCAGGTTTTATCTAGTCTCTAGACATATGAATTAGAATATATTTTTAGAATATTTAAGATTGCTGTTTTCTCCCTAGGACACATACCTTATTTCGTAGATAGGTAGATATTTGACTATCTTTTTGTGTTAGATTCTCTATTACTCCTAACTCACCCTCAGTTTTTTCTCTTATTCTTTGCCACTGGTCAGTCCTGTTGCAGTTTCTATTCGGATGGAATAACCAACTGCTTATTCCATCACCCTTCCACACAAACCATATTGATAATGACCAGCATTTCCTATCAATCTGTCAAGTAGATATCCCAAGCTGTATTTTTCATTTTCTTATTGCAGTCTGCCTTCCCAGTTCTTCCTCAAAGTCTGAGAATTTTTCCTTCTCCATATGAGTCAGGATATTGCCTTACCATGCTGCACTAAAAGAACAAAATTCTGGATTAGTTGAAGCTCATTATCATGTTTAAATCCTGTAAAGAGTCAAAGTATGTTAATGCAGTACTGCACTGAATCGACATTAATGCAGGCTCTGTGGCCAGAACTGCAGAATCATGACTGTACAAATCATGTGCAGTCTCTGGGGGATCATAAGTGAATGGCAAGTCATGGTCAGGTAAAGCATGCTTACTGTACTTGGCATGTGTACAGGAAGTATGTCTGCATCCTAAGAAGTCTACTAAGTGTGTGTGAGCCAGTCCTTTTAAGAAGATTATATTGTAGCCATGCTTGATACTTCTTCTTTTTTTTTTTTTTTTTTTTTTTTTTTTTTTTTTTTTTTTTTTTTTATATTTTTTTTTTTTTTTTTTAACAGGAGCAGCAAAAAGATATCTAATACCACAACCAGGACATTGCAACATCTTACTCTTTTTCTAAGTTATATGTTAACTAAGATATTATGTAACATTAAAGTATTTATTCACTTTTGATTTCAGAGACAGATTCTTCACTGCTGGTTCAGTCTTGATCTATATTTGAGAGTTCATGTAGATATATTCACTAGGAGTTTGAAAAATACCACATGCTCTAACCAACTTCAAATGGTCAAGAAGATAGCTGAACCAATCTTTGCAGCTTCTAGTTTGGTATCAGATGAACTAGTCCCATTTCTTTCATTCTCCTATCCTCACCATGCAGTACCACTCCCTACCTTGTACTGCCTGTGATATTAATCTCCTGTGATAATTTATTCATCCAAGAAAATCACCCCTCTTTTTAGGATGGACACAATATAATGAAATCTGATGTTGATTCATTCAGGAACTTCACTGGCATTTAAATGGATAAATCTATGTATATGTAGGCATAGTCAGACTATGATCAAACACAATGCCATAACCAATTATAGGCCACCCAGAGCCAGATAGAAAGTATGTTTTGATGGAATCATTTGCTGCATTTGCAGAACTGGTCTCAATAATCCCTTAATATCATCAATCATTGCAGTTCGGAAAGCAAAAGCTTTCTTTAAGCAGATGAGGACTCAGAAACTCCCCCAAAAGGGAAGTGCCCCTAAGGAACTGCAGGATTTTTTCTTGATGCAAAGATACAAAGATGAAAGAGATTTGCTGTATTGAAGCTTCTCTGATTTATAGTGAGGAATTAACAGACTTTTACCTCAAGCAGAGGCAAGGAAAATGGCTTTGTAATGGGTTCCCTGTTACTAAGGGAACTTGTTCAAACCCTGAAAAACAAGCAGCTGTGACCCAGTCTTGCAAAAGGAGGAGGACTTTTATTCGGTGTTTTTCAAGATGAGTGATGGTTTCACTAATATCTCTTGGACTAATAATCTAGATAGACATCTAGGATTTGAGATATTTTTTGAAAGAAAAGTTTTTGCTGAAGCTGTCATCTCAGCAGCTTGTATAGGTGTGCTAGCTGAAGAACAAAGAAAGGTAATGGTAATTCCCTTTCTACTCTAAAAATAAAAAAAAAAATTCTATGGATATACAAAATCTAGTCTTCTGAAAAAAAAAACAAGTCTCAACTTTTAGACTTCCTGAATTTGCAAAATCTGCGTATTCTGTTGCGTAATACCTTTAACTCCTAGATAAGAATAAGAGAGGTCAGATGCTTATTTCCCAAAGAACATCTCAGTACCTTGTCATCATGATACACCTGTTAGGGTCAGCAGTATACAGGTCTCTCTGTGCCAGGGAGAACATTTTTATTGCCTAATAAAACTAGATTAGGCAAGAGAAGTTCTTGTAATGCAATGTCTATTACATAGGTATTCATAATAATAGATAACACCTCCTGATATATTTACATAGGCATTGCTCTTATCATATAGCCATATTCAGTATTTAAAAGCCAATGGACACAAACAACATGATAAAAGGGTTAACATACCCTGTATTAAGTAACTGAATTTGCATTCAAGGTCTATCAAGCTTACCTTTGAACCAACTTAAAAAAGAGCAAATGGCAGAAAAGAGATACTAGAAAAACACAGCAGCAAATAATTCTGCCTTTGTAAGAAATCAAGTGCAGGTCCTCCTGGCCTTCTTGGGAAGGTTTATAGAGGACATTAGTGGGTTTTTGTAAGGATTGTAAGGATTGACAGTGATTAAATGGAAAAAAGCCCATGTTATTGATTGTCATGTGAGTTTTAGGAAGGAGAAGTGTTTGCCATAGACTGAGCAGCAGCTGCCCTGCTTGGCTATCTGTCAAGGAAGTGTCTGTCAGTTCAGTTAGTTGCAGCATGAGTGAGCAAAGTGGCAGGTGGAGATCAAAACAGTGATGTTTGGAGTTAATGCTCTTTATCTCTTCTGTGGATATCGCCAACTCCAAATATAAAAGGAGGTGAAGTATGAAAAAGGTTTAAAAGGGGTTTAAAAGGTTGAAGGATTAAGATATTTTTTTTGCCAGAGGACTGGATTATTAAGGCAGGTTTAGAATAATTTAAAAGCCTGTGGGCAAAGCCTGCAGAGGGTCCCTACCTAACCATGTGATTGTTACGGGAGAAAGTCCAGAAACCAAGTGCACCTCTGGAATCTACTGACCCTGACCAGGTTCACCCAGGGCATGCACACACTGCTTGTGAGCCCAAGGTCTCAATTTCACCACAGCCCTAGACCCTCAGCTGTCTTGCCATATGCTGGTCTCCAGCCTAGTCTGCCCCTGCTAGCTGGGCAGACCTCTTGGTAGCTAGTTTTCCTCCTGAATGTAGCTCTCAGACGTCCATTACTCACTGTCTTTAGTCCTGTCTGCTGCATAGACTTAAGATTGAAGATGAAACTTGATCTATTGTCCTACCTGTAGTCTCATCTCCTTTTACATTTGCCTGAACCTGGCTCATCTCTTGCCTGGGACTATCAATGGATCCTACTACCAAAACCTGGCTCACCCAGCTATGACTGTACCTGTGGAACCATGCCTGGAGTTGCTCTTAACTCCTGGAATACCTAGTTGGAAGGGAAAGCAGGACTCCAGTGCTCTCTGACAGAAGGAATGCAAAAACCAAACTAATATATAGCACCTTAAAAACCTTCTGACGCTTGCTTTCTTCAGCATTTGTCCACACATGAAATGGAATTGGAAGGGCTATACTCCAAGGTTAATATTCATGGATACTTACATGTATATTCAGTGAATATCCCCAGTCTGATGGAGTCCCTGCTGACTGGAAAAGAGGAAGGATAACCATTCTGGAAAACATGAAAATAAGGAAGACCCAGTGAACTACAGGCCAGGCAGTGTCATTTCAGTGCCCAGAAAGACCATGGAGAAGATCCTTGTGGAAACCATTCTAGGGCATGTGGAGGACAGGGAGGTGATTGGTGACAGCCAGCATGGCTTCACTAAGGCAAATTGTGCCTGACAAGTTTGGAGCCTTCTGTGAAGGATTATAGCATTGGATGAGAGGGGAACAACTGACATCATTTACCTGGACATGTGCAAAGCATTGGACAGTGTGCTGCTCAACATTCTTGTCTCTGAACTGGAGAGACATGGATTTGATGGGTGAATCATTCAGTGGGTAAGGAATTGGCTGGATGGTTGCACTCAAACAATTGTGATCAATTGCTCAATGTCCACGTAGAGACCAGTGATGACAACACCAATCTGTTTGGATCAGTCAACATGCTGGAGGGCAGGGATGCCGTCCACAGCAACCTGGCTTGAGAGGTGTGCCTGTGTAAACCTCTGGAACTTCAACAAGGTCAAGTGTGAGGTCCAGCACATGGGTCAGGGGAATCTCAAGCACAAATACTGTCTGGTCAGAGACAGATTGAGAGCAGCCCTGAAGATAATGACTTGAGGGTGTTGGTGTACAAGAAGCTGCATTGTTCTTTATATATTGGCCGCCATAGTACTTTTCAAATATTATTTTAAACAAAGAATCATGTTACAGAAATATTTCCAGAAGAGAAAAAGTTCTGTATTAAAGTGTCTCAAATTAAAAGACAGCAATAGAGTAAAAATCCAATTACAGTTACACTACAAAACCATAAAGAGAAGCAAGCATGGAGATAAAAATTTAATCTGCTAAAGCCTTTTTTTCTTTCGAGGAATTTCTACAGAACAAATCTTGCATTAGAACAGAGGTCAGCATATGTTGGACTAAGTCTGTACTGATACTTGCTTTTTATTTTTTTTTTTTGCTTTACTTGTTAAAATTTCCATAATATTATGAGTGCTTTTCAGTACTTTAAGGAATTTTAGATAAAGGAAAATAGGATTATAATATGACTGCTTTTCAAGAGTAAACTTCTATATTTACTCCATTACTAGTTTACATGGGTTCAGTGATAAGTGGAAAAAATTTAGGAAGAAAGTACATTAAGGACTACTAAATGCAGAAATCCCAGAATGGTAACTGAAATACTACACATTGGTATCAGTACATCTTTTTGCCTAGTCTTGTGTTTCTCCTTAGGTAGCTGTCACTGGCCAGTATCAGAAATTGGTTATGACTACAGATAACACTGTAATCTGACCAATCTCTATGTTCTCTGGTACAGTGGTGCAGAGGCACATCAGTTGGCATAGATTTTCCTCTCTGGGTTATAGGAGGGAACTGGAGTGAATATTAAAAGAATACAACACAATTTTCTTATTTCGATAATTTATTATTTTAAAAGAGCACAGAAGGATAGTTCCATCACCACCCATGAACCTTGCGTATTAGAACTGCAATAGATCTTTTATTTAAATCACAATTGATGTCAAGACATTCAGAGAAAGCTTAAAAATATCAGCTTAAAAATATCAGTGTTAGAAAAAGTACATATAACATATGACTTTAATTTAAAGGATATAGGGCACTCTTTTTAAAGTCTTGTGCTTTATCTTGTCCCAAAAATCTACATGCAGCTCACATGGCCAGCTCATCAAGACATGATTTCCCAATCCTTTCTTCTCTTCCAAGAAACCTTCCTTCTGCTGATATACATGAATAAAACAGTTGGTTTTGTTGGCTATGTATTTTTGAAGTGATAAATTTATTCAAAGCTGCAAGACTAGCTAGCTTTTCTTGATTTGATATCAAAGCACTAGTCACCTTTGATATCCAAGCTTCACTTTCTATTGCATCTTTTGTTCAAGATTCCTGTTTCGCTAGTTAAAGCAATAAATAATCATTTTCAAGAGGCTGCTAAAGAGCTGTCTAACTGATCAAACACATAAACTAGGCTTGTACTCTACAACAGTGATTACACATAGCCCATGCTAAGCTGAAGTCTGTGCTGAGGTTCTGATTAAAAAAGCATTGTCCATAGAGTGGCTTAACAAAGCACTCCAGATGTGCTTTCCAAGGTGAAGTGAGCATACCTTGACATTACTGTGTGGCACACCTCTCCAGTCTTCCAGCTGCAAAGCACAGTTTTCAAGTTGAACTAAACCTCGGTTAGTTCTGGGAAATAAAGAAGTATGGATTAAAAATATATTGTTTAGGATGGATGCTTCTCTTATTTCCTCAGACTTCACTTCCTAAGACAGCTATAAAACTCTGACTTCACACTCAAGAAACCATTCTGTCAAAGTTATAATTTTGAGTGGGCTGACTGTAATGTCTTCATTTGTGTGAAATATCATCCTGATGCTACCTGACAGAGAAAAGGGATAATTTTTAAAGAACAATTATCATTTGAACATAGTCTGAAAGAATATTTGAACAATCTGCAATTTTTTTCAAAAAGCTTTAGAATAGCTTTAAAAAGGAATTATGTAGGTACAAAGTCATAACAGGAATTGATTTGTTAATATCATGGTTTTAATGTATTTTTCTAATATTCCTATTTCACTTACATGATTTCAAGATAAAATCCATAGCAGAGTTTTAATGTCCTTCCTGCTACTATCATATTTGTATAGAAACAATATATACAGATAGAGGAAAAAAGCAACATATATGTATATTTTAATAGCAATCAGTTAAAGTCAGTACTGGATTTGTATCATGAACCCTTGCAGCAAACAGCTTTGCTGTTCAAAGCAAGCTTCATCTCACTTAATTTGGGGATCTCTGATTCTGAAACCAGGGACTCAAATCATTAGTTCAAATACATACTGCCAAAAATTTGTGAGGGCCTTTTCTCTTATAATAAAGTATTTATTATAGCTCAGATTATATCAGAGAAGTAATTTCATGTTTACTACAGAAGTGGAGAACTTGCATAAATTAGTGATCTTTGGTGCAAAGTAAACTTACTTTTAGGTTCCAAAGCAGTGATCAGTTATCTTACTAAATTCAGGAGTTAGTAGATCTGTGATACAATTAAGATGAAACTAATGAACATCTTGGAAATTTATTTTTCTTTCATTGTTATTTTATTTAAACGTTGACTCAAATATATATCCTCAGTGTGGCAGCTCTGGGGTTAGTTCTAGAAGATGAAGAAACGTTTATAAACAAACATACAAGTGTGTAACTATGATAGTATCATCCTCAGAGAGACACAGAGCTGAAAGATGAGGAAAAGTGGGTTCCAATTTCCGCTCCCCAAGACTAACATCACCAAGCTGTGGACAGTGCGCTGCGCATCCTAAAGCTCGCCACTCGAAAGCAAGTCGACGCTCTGCTAAGGAAACACAGAAACCTTTTTCTCCTATCCGAGCAAGGCTGTTGTGAACGAAAACTCTCTCTGCTGGGAAAATGTCCTCCGGGGTGTGCCCGTGCGCCGGGGCAGAGCCGGGTCAGGCGGCGGGATGCTCGGCGGGGGTCAGGGCCGGGGCGGGCGCGCAGGTGGCGGCGGGCGGGGCGAGCGCGGCGCCGCCCCCGGGCCCCATTGGCGCGGGCGGTGGGGGCCGCGCCGCGCCGCCCCCGCGCACAAGGGTGAGCGCCCGGCGGCGGGCTGTGCGGGGTGTGCGGGGCCGTGCGGGGCTGTGCGGGGCCGTGCGGAGCTGTGCGGGGCCGTGCGGGGCTGTGCGGGGCTGTGCGGGGCATGCAGAGCTGCGGGCGCTGGTGGGGGCGGCTGGCGGCCCGCGGGGCGCCGCACCTGCGGGCGGCGGCGGGGCAGCGGCGCTGGGGCGGCGGGGAGGCGGCGCGGTGCATCGAGCAGCTCCTGCCGCGGCACGATGACTTCTCCCGGCGGCACATCGGGCCCCGGGAGCGGGAGAAGCGGGAGATGCTGCGAACCGTCGGGGTGCAGGTAGGCGCCGTGCGGGGCGGGAGCTGCGCGGCCGGACCGTCGGTGCGGGCTGTGCCGCCCCGCGGGAGATAACCAGGGCGTGCGGGCGCTTCTTGCAGAGCGTCGAGGAGCTGATGGACAAAACCATCCCGGCCAGCATCCGCCTCCGGAGGCCGCTGAGGATGGATGACCACGTCTGTAAGTGACCGCATGGCCCGGGTGCTCCCGGGCTCCCCGCGGCCCCTTCCGGTCGCCCGTGGGGGTGGGGGGACTCGGGTGCGCACCCCGTGCCTCGGTGTCCCCGCTGACACGTGTGGCGCTCTGATCCTAGTTAGAAGTGCAGCGTAGGACTTAAAGAAGCGTAGCAGCACAATCACCGACGCTTCATTCTTCTCCGACCAACTCCGTAATTTGGCTGCTGCGTTTATTGCTCTCCTCTCGGAAATCGGTAGGAAAATAAGTGTAGCGGTCAGGGACTGCTCGAAAACCCGGTTTGGAGCTCAAGTGCTCCATTGACTTTGTCCGAAGAGCCTAATGTGAAGGGAAAAGTACGACTAAAAATCGTTCCCTTAGTGTGGACCGTGGCTTCAATGGGCCACTGCCTTTTGGTAGGTAGTTCTTATGTATCTGCAGGATTTCTTTGTTATTCCTCCTCCCCGACCGTCCCCCACCCCCCGCCCAGTATTTACCTGCATATTTTCATAACATGAAAAGTCTTTGTCTCCGTGTTATGGATACACAGTAGACTAATGGCCAGAATTTTAAATCTCTCTAATTGAGTGTTATGGGTAAACTGCAAGAATACTAAACATCTGAGTCAGCTATTGTGGCACTACAGTAGCTCAGCAAATTGCTTGATGTGATTTCATGAGGTTTTAGATATTAATGTTTTTAAGAGTTAGCAAGCACAGTACAAAATTTTTGCATAACTGCATTTTTGAGTGAAGTCTGTGAACATGATGCTAGAAGTCCTGTAAGTGAAAGAAGCATTTAAAAATCCCCAGTGCTAAACAATTACACTAAAACTAACAAAGCTCAATGGGCATTCAGATGTGCGATCCAGTTACATCAGTATTAGCTTAATTTTTGTGTCACAATCCTTTGCCTGATTTGTAGAAAACTTGATTCCTCCTGCTGGCATTTTCTCATTGCTCATCCGTGTGCTGTAATTCGAGTGTAAACTTTAGGCCTGCAGCTCCGGTGAGGTTCCTGGCCAGTTCAATCTGGTTACTCTGAAATGACATCACGCATGAGAGGCAGCACCACAATGAACAGCCAGGAAAACTAGACTCTGAAAAGACAGATTCTAGCCAGGAGGGACACGACAGGGAATGATAGTTTCTACCTCTAAATTTTTTTATTAGTACAATAGTATTTTAGTCTTTCATAACTTTCTATCTTATTAAAATGAGGAGAGGCTGGGTGGAGAAGCAGAATTTAACAGCCTTCTTGTGTCTG